ATAGTCGTAATTATTTTTTTTAGGATTAAATCCTACAGAAAGGAATGAGTCAACAGATAAGTAAAATGTTTAAGCTTTTGATGTTATTGTGAAGCTGTCACCTAAGAAGTTCACACAATTCGTGTTCCCACCGGCAGAGTCCAAAACTACCAGTAAATACTATTATTTAATGTTATTTTAATTGCCATTCCTTGTATTACCAATAAGAAAAAGAAACATTTTTTTCCTGAATGTTTTGTGGGCTGATTATCAATGATAGGATTTCTTGGTTAAAAGCAGCTCTCCTTTCCTATAGCTTTAAGCTAGATTATTGTAAAACTGAATCCCCAGTTGAACAAGGCACAACTGATTGCCAGATTTTGCTAACCATAATATGCCATCTGATTTTAAAGTCTCAAAGTGCACGGGGTCTGAGCCCGAGTTCATACGATGCTTGAGGTTGACACTGACTGACGCCATCAAGGACATTGTACAGCAGATAGTGTCTGTGATGAGCTCTGGGAGAAACTCTGAGACAAACCTAAACAAGCACAGTGTTCCTGACTGTTTGCTTGAGAGCATTCCAAAAGAATGGAATTATATTCCAAAAGAAAGCAAAAGGAAAGAATCGAGCAAAGGTAAGTATACTTGTTTTTCTTTAAGAAAACACCCCAGAAGAAACAATTTTCTAGGCTATACCATCAAGTAAAATCCTGAAAATTATAAGATTGATTAACCATATTAATCTTCCTTCCACCAAGTATATTTTAGGACCCTTAATATTTTTTACTATGAGCCACATGATCAAGGAAACTAAAAATGAAAATTACTCAGATGGTCATCTTTATTTAACTACCAGTTTAGAATTTTCTGTGGTATTTTGTGTTCATGTTAGTATTCACAGATTAGTCACATGATTTTGACTAATTTCCTTTAAACCTATCAGGTAATCTAAAATTCATACTCTCAAGAAGATTGCTCTGATATTCTGTTTAATTATTCTTTCTTTTAAGTTTTCCCTCTGCAACTACCAATTATTACTTTCTTTTCTCTTGTTAAAACACCTACTTGTGTAGGTTTTTAGGTCAAAAATAGCACCCAGTTTGGTAGCTACATGTATTTTTCTGACAGGGTATTTTTTCCTCAATCCCTAGGGTTCTGAATTGAGTGCATTGTTCCTATTCAGGGCAATGTATCTACTAAGTGTATTTAAGAACCATCAGTTACCTACATTATTCATCTATTTTATTAATCAAGTCCTCTCTTCTTAGTTTCTTCCTACCTAGATGTTTTCACTTTTCCTTTGAATGTATATTACCTATCTGTATTCATAAATCTTCTTTTGGTTTTTTAAAATAAAACTTTCCCTTTCGTATTCATCCTTAAAGAAGAATATTTTTTCACTAACTCTAAGGAAACTTTCAACACTAAAATACTCCAGCTGAACTCACTAAAGTCAATGAAGGGACTAGCCTTTCTTTCATTCTTCTCCGAGGAGATCCTAAATAATGTGGCTCTTATCCAGCGACCTTATATTACAAACTCAAATCAATTATCTATCTGTGACCTTTCATAGTAATGCTTTAATTCTGTCCAAGCCCTATTAAACTCCCTTTGAATCTAGTAAAGTCATTTAATTGAAATTGGAAAATGTCACCTTTTCATTACTTAAGTTCTTCCTTGTCTAAGAGTTGTTGCCATCTCTCCTTTGTCCTAGCTTTTGGATATTTCATACATTTTGAGAAATTCATGAGGCATGGTCTATAGTTAACATATCATGCCATGTAAGTAACACTGTGTTACTTGTGACTTTTATGTAATTCTATTCATAAGCGGTTTTGCCTTCTACAAGCATTTTGGAATTCCTCCATACCATTTCAAAGAGCCATTGGTTCCAAAGAATGTGTACTGTACAGATACATTGTTAAGGTTTTCCTTACTAAATAATATTTTTTATAAAATTCTCATTAAGAGTAGAAGTACAACATACAGCCAGCCATGAAGGGATGTCAGGTCACATGAATATATTTTTTAAAAAAGCCTTTAACATATTCCTGTAAATCAACAAATCAATTGCAGTTTAAAAGTAATACTGGGAATACAATGAAGAGGAAACAATGACAAAGTGAAGCTCACACTTATTCTTATTCTTAATATGTAATCTTTGTCAATCATATTATAACATAAAACAACGATGATCTGATTAGATTTGGTTATAAAAAAATGTGTGGGAAAACCATTTGAAATATGGCTTCCCATTCATTTTGCTAACTGTGAATCCCTCCTAAGTGAGTATTGTGCCTTGAGATATTAGCAAAAATAGTTTAAAGTCATCTTGTTTAGCAAAAGATATCAAAATGAAGCATCCAAAACATGAAGACAAACCTCTATAATTTTTTCAACAATGTTTTAAATCAAGTGATATATAATCATGTTCTTTGCAAAATTTGTCTAAACAATGATAAATGTTTAAAGGCCTTTTTTTCCAAAGAAAATTCTAATTCATTAAAAACAGTCACTACCTCAGGGAATATTTGTCCTTCCTGACATGGTAAAAATGACAGAACATGGAAGACAGTATGGTAACAAACTAAAATGCATTTCTTTATTTCTTTGTTGACAAATACATAAAAACACTAAAGATTTAAAGAAATAAATATTAGAATAAATTATACAGTACAGAAGATTTACCCTACAGTTGCATAAAAGTTCAGATGGTCCTGACATAGCTCACTCAGATTTTAGGTATTTGCTCCATTATGTTTCAAAGAGCAAATACACGAAGAATTAGTTGTTTTATTTTGTTTTGTTTCTTTGACAACAATTAAATGAAAGATATACCTGAGAATATATTTTCTCAACAGTAAAGTGCTTTTTTAATGAATAGAATGCTTTATGGGAAAACTGTTGGAGTAATTGTTTTAACAGAAACAATGGATTCTGGAGAGAGGAAACAGGTAGCACTATAAGGAAACTGTATCCATGCTGTTGTTCACATGCAGATTATTAAGAAAGAAACTGATGGCAGAAATACAAAAAGTGCTTTCAGAAGTCATTAATATAGTTAACTTTATAAAAACCAGAGTTATTAGTTTTTTTTTATAAACCAGTGTCAACTATAAA